AATAGATGTATATTATTTATACACTTGTTATTTACACTTCTGATTGGATGGATGCTAACGTTAATTACATTTCATTAGCTGTGTATTTTACTTTGCACAATGATAATACAGTCCAGCATGTCTCATGCTCCTAAACTAAAGATATTGATCGATTAATTAATACAAGGAGACAATATCCAAACCATAATGCTTTAGCAGCCCATTAGACAAGTACAAAAACACCTATAAAGATGAACTACATCTCATAAACGTGTATTAAATATTTTTAAATAGATGTATATTATTTATACACTTATGATTTACACTTTAGATTAGATGCTAACGTTAATTACATTTCATTAGCTGTGCATTTTACTTTGCATAATGACAATACAGTTTAATCTAATCGATTCCAGCATGTCACGTGCTCCTGTATTAAAGATATTGATCAATTATTCAGTACAAGAAGACAATATCCAAACCATAACATTTAATCAGCCCATTGGACAAGTACAGAAACACCTATAAAGATAAACTACATCTCATAAACTTGAATTAAATATTTTTAAATAGATGTATATTATTTATACACTTGTTATTTACACTTTGGATTAGATGCTAACGTTAATTACATTTCATTAGCTGTGCATTTTACTTTGCATAATGACAATACAGTTTAATCTAGTCTATTCCAGAGTCCAGCATGTCATGTGCTCCTGTATTAAAGATATTGATCGATTTATCAATCAGATATTCAATACAAAAAGATAATATCCAAACAATAACATCTAATTAGCCTATTAGACAAGTACAGAAGAGCCTAAAGATGAACTATAGCTCATAAAGGTATTGATAATTTAAATAAATCGATCAATTAATCGATAATCACCTTTCTGAAAGCTTTATAAACAGTCGCGTATGTGCCGCTGCCCAGCCTCTCGGTGAGAATGAAGTCTTTGAGCTTCGGCGGAGCAAAACCCGCAGCCGCCATCCCGAACCAGAATCAATCAATCAATCGATAATCGATGATGATTTATGACAGCATAACGACGAGCGCGGGGCTTTCTCTTGTCTTCACATGGGCCATTCATCCGTACGGTTACACCTCTGCCTGTTCACTTGAAGAATAATAATGATATAATCTTTAATCTGGGCGAATTATTAATAATATATTCGTGTTTTCATCTGAAGCGCTGCGCTCTGTTTACTTCCGCGCACTGACGTCACTCACCGGGGACGTCACTCTGCGTGCGCGTGACACACTGACACCTGCCGTTCAGTTTAGAACCTGCGAGTCTGCCACTATATTTAGTTTCTAGCGTTATTGGCGTATAAGAAATGTATTTCTCTTTACAAACAAACATAAACGCAGTTAATGATTTACTGAAGTTCTGTGCTGAGCTGTTCACGACATGCAAACGGCATTGTTATTATTTTCTAGATAGACAAGACTGTTTGATAGGGTTAAGAGAAACATGAATAGAGCGCAGTGCGTTCTGTTCTCATGTTTCTGATGTTATAAATAACTGTCATGTGACCACTGGCCGGCAGGGGGCGTGTCAGATTATAATAAAAGCATAGAGTAGGTAGAATGGAACAGTGCTGGGAGTAAAAGTGGGCGGGGCGTTGTCTCTGATTGGACACAATAAATACTCGATTTTTACTCTACTTTGCAGTTTAAAGTTTATTGCTGTGATTGTTTAGGTGTACATTATTGTTTTGTTGCTTTATTTTTATATTATTCAAATATTTACACTACCTGACAAAAATCTTGTCACTTATCCAATTTTTATGAACAGTGAATAATAAATTAACTTCTAGTTGATGATTTGGTGTCAGAAGTGTCTCTATGAAAGGTAAAGGCCTCTAGATTTTGCTTATTTTTTAGCTCAATAAACTCTGATCATGTCTTGATGTTGACTGATTTGATGAGGACAGTG